TATATCCTCAAATTTAGAAGAAAATATTGATATATATATACTAAATTATATTAGGATTTGGTTAATTGTGATGAGAAACTTTTGATAATGATAAACAAGTTGTTGCTTTTCTTAAATCCTTATGAGATAAAAATAAAAAGAGGTTAGAAATGCCTTGTATATGAGATGAACTAATGGTAAAAATAGTTATTTTTTTGCGTAGTTATGGTTTTTTGCCTTAGAGTTGGTGGCAAACGGGGTATACTCTGAATATCTTTTGTTCTCGAAATTGCGTGGCTGTATTTTTTAGGAGTAGACGAGATATGTTTTAATCCGATTCTAAAGAAAGCCAAATCAAATTCAATACTAATTTGTATCTTAACAAGAGAATCATTGGTCCATCTCTAAGTATTGAATTGGATCGGAGAGGAAACTCAATAGGTAATGAAATTCATTAATTTGATTTTCAAAAATGAGTCAATTTTTCATTCATTTCCAGTTTTGGTCTGATTTTGTTCCTTCAATTAAAGTTCTCAAATTCACTAATCGATACAAATGGAATGTCTAACCATAAAAGTTCTTAAACTATAATTATTTAAGTATCTAAGTTCTTGTCAATCTCTTCATCAAAATGATTTATAGTGATGCTAGCAATTTGTATTTTTCAAGTTTAACTAAACGCAACAATTTATATTAACAAGTTAATTTCTGACTCGAACGAGTTCTTGAAAAATATATCACAATCTCAATTCCATTTTTGTATACTTCGAAGAGCGGAAAACGCTAGCTTGGAATGGATGAAATGAACCGAGGCCTCTTATTTATCAATGAAAGTTAGTAAATCAATTTGTCTGGATTTATAAATATATAACATCGTAATTAATTTAATCCCCGTTTGGTACACATTAATATAAAAATGAGAATGAAAAGTATATTCGTTACGGACCCCACACAAAAGATAGAAAGTCAAATATTATGACTTGATGTGATGGATAACGGTCATATTTTTCATTTTAATAGGCAAATAATGGGAAACAAACGAGCGATTAATATGACTCGACGTACTATGGTAAAATTCAAATTCAAAAGAAAATGTTAAAAAGGTTAGCCCATATCACAAACCACTATTTAATTAAAATAAAAAATTCAGGTTGAATCGAGTTTTTTGGTTCTTGGTATTAGAACTTGAGTGGAATCTTGCTAAACCAATACATTCCGTTTGATTTTTAGTTCTGTCCAATGGTTCACGTAACTTTTAACCCCACTCCCCAAATTATTATTATTATTATTATTATTATTATTATTATTATTATTATTATTATTATTATTATTATCACAATTTTATTTGGATTTAGTTTAGGTCCTTAGGATCTACTACTTTGATATTCGATCAAACTTGCTTTGAAAATTAAACAAATCAAGTTAGGAATGTGTAAGCATGTAAAGTTTTTGAACTTGATTCAAACTCAGTTTATCGAAATAATCAGACTATTAATTCAGAAAAACGTATGTCTATGATATAGTTCTCGAAATGAGCTTCAAGATAACATAGATTCTTTGTGGATTCGGCTAGCCTACGATCGTCAGAGAATTTTTAAAGCTAGCCTGTTATCGAAATATTAGAAATAATAGTTTGGAATTACCTACCTTGACAAGCTAATATTTGCTACGGTTGACCGTTTCAAGTATCATTAATAACTTAGAAACTAGGCTGTAAATACTTCGAAATGATATGAAGAATGCAATATTTCAATTTCATTTGACATGTCATAATAACTTCTAAAATTGAGACAAAAACATAAAAATTTCAAAAAAAAAAAAAAAAAAAAAAAAAAAAAACACACACACACAAAAGAAAAGTGGTAAGATCGGGAGACCCTCGTTTGCTTGACTCGATCATGACTTCACATCTATGTGACTCGATCACTATAATTTTATGTGATGTAACTTAATCACTACAACTATACTTTTTGTGTGACTTGATCGTTAATGTAGCTCCACCTTTATTACAGTCAATCATCACAAGTTCACTTCAAACTTTGTACTCGCAATCATCTTTAGTACAGTTCAAGAGGTTGAACTATGAGTTCTGTTGTCACTTGTTGGAAAAACAATCACGAAAAGCGAAAAAAAAAAGTCTAGGGAAAAAATACAAATTCAACATTTTTCGGCAAATTGTTGATGGCAAAGGGAAAGGAAAACATTATTAATTGAAAAAAAAAAATTATAATAGAATAATTTTCTATTTCTCACTACCAAAATTAGAATCATGCCTCAATTTTTATTAGAAGACCTTTCTCACTTTTTCTGTATTTAGGCTTCACAAATTTTAAAAACGGCAAGTGAAATAACAAAAAAATAAAAAATAAATACAAAAATTCGTAATCTTGACAGCTGTGGGATTTGAACCCACGCCCTTTCGGACCAGAGCCTAAATCTGGCGCCTTAGACCACTCGGCCAAACTGTCAGCAATGACTATGCTCGTGGCTATTTGTCCTCTCCAGCAGAGCAGCCAGTCGATCTTCTTCCAAGTCGAATTTCACTCTTTTTGGCAAAAAGAATTCTTTAAACCTACTTTTATTACACAAGTGATTGTTATAAATAAATAAAGAATACATAATAAGATCATCATTTACTGCTTGCATTTTCTTAAAGATCCAAAGATATTCTTCTCCAAGAAAATGAAGAAAATCATCCATCCATTGTTTTCAGTTCTTTATCCCAGTTAGTAGCAGCAGGCAAAGGTTCATTTTTTTTAATGATAATTTAGCAAAATCCTGATACTCATTTCAAGACTTCAGAAGATGGGCAGATCTGGTACCTATCCTGGGATAAACAAGCAGGTATTAGATAAAAATTTAAAAATACTAGGCAAGAATTAAATGGCCTTTAAAATTTCATTATTTCTTTGCATTGCTTTACTTTGAAAGAATTCATCTTGTTCATGGGTTGCGGGTTTGCAGCAAAACAGAGGTACAGATTCGGGTGGTTCCACTTCAGCATGAAGCTTAAACTAGATGGGGCCACTCAGCCGGAGTGGTTACCACTTATTATGCAAGTCATTTTATACATGCTATACTAGATCAAAGGAAAAGCTCCCCTTTCTGATTGGACTACTGAACTTGATTATATTCAACAGCTATTCCCTTCACTCGAATCAAGAAAGTCTTAAAGACTTCTAGAACAAGATTACTATGTAAAAATCTTACTCTTGAAACTGTTGTTACGCCTTGCACTAAAGCTCCAGTTGAAGATCACGTCATAGTCCATGCGGAGCGTGGAGGGGAAGTTAAATTTGACTAAGTCAACAATCATTTAAAAAAGAAGTAAAGTCAAAGAAGAAGCTGATGCTCTCTCCATCTAAAGCTCTCTATGGCCGAAGCCCTTACTATTTCTTAAAGGATTTGCAAGCAATATTTAGAAATGATTGATGTAACGTCTATAATAATGAATGTCAAAATTGTCCTCATAGGATATATGATGGATGATCAATTGTCAATGTATTAAATGTGTAGCAGAATGAGTGATGTGAGTCTTCGGCCTGGGAGATGAGGCCACATGGTTTATATCCAATGGCAACCAGCTCGGTTGGAAGTCTATAAATAAGCCCTCTTATTTTGTTCTTAACGCAACTACACGTACTCAAAACCTCACTCAACCTCCTCTCTCATTTACTTTTATATTCATTTGCTTGAGTTTAATTTATTTCCATTTTGGTTGAATTATTTATGATTGTTTGTTTATTTGAAATCATCCTTGATCCTATTGTTAGTGTTTGAATGTTTTCGTCTCGCGTCACCAAACATCTTCGACGTTCATAAACGCTGTACATCTCCGTCCAAATTTTTGGTCAAAACGTGTTCAAATTTGCTTGTATAAATGAGAATGAGCCCGACATCTGTTGTCCACGCAACCATTGCAAAAAAGGGGTCAACAACTGTCACTGCTCAAAGTGCCAATAATTCAAGAAAATTTTAACTTAACAATGTGTATCAATCAAGCCATTGCCATCATAATTATTTATTGTTCATGCAGATTTGTTCTGGAGATGGGGTGGGGCTGGAGAGACACGAGCTAGACATTGAAGAATGCTGAACGGAACCAGTACCGTAAAATGAGGCACATGCTATGGTGTGACCCCACGGAAGAATTCGACACCCATTCTATTCTTTGGAACAGCAATCAAATACTGCAAGACCTATTAAACTTAGTATATATCCTTATGAATCGATTAGATTTATAGATTACTGATTCTTTGAAATTACTTTTCGAAGTAGCTTCTTTCTTGTTAAAGTTTTGTACAAGAATGCTAATTACACAAACATCTTTTTTCCCCAAGAAGCCAATCTACTTATTTCGAGAATATGGAATGGGATGACTAGGCTACAAGAGGAGACAGACCCAAAAAAAGCACCATTTGAATCATTTCTAAGGACTTGAATGTTGATGAGTGTCAATTGGCATAACCCTACCTTGCAATGTGTATCCACTACCACAAAAAATCAGTGGGAATGAACGGAAGGATTTTATTTAGGGATGGCAAAAAAATTAGTTCAACTTGAAATCCATAGAGCCTTGTCCTAAATGGGAGGGGATTACTCGCCTAATTGAGTAAATGGGGCAGGGGCAGAACAGAGGTTGTTGCCCAGAAATACGTATGAGATGGGTACGGAAAATATGGTCCCTATTGAACTATCCATCCCATTTAGAATTGTTTTTATGAAAAAACAAAAAGATTTATTATCATTTTTAAAGAGAACACGAATTATTCTTAATAATTGGAAAAAAAATAATATTCACTAAATTAAAAAAAAAAGCAAAAAAAAAAAAAAGGTGATGCAATATCAGCCCGTCCTGCTTTAATCAGGTATCAGGTATGAGAGTGGGGGCAAAGTAACAAAAATACCCATTGGGGCCGGAAAATAAGAATTGTCACCCCGCCGCGGTTGCAATCCCTAATTTTGCTTGGGTCGAGACTTGAAAGGAACGTTGATGGATAGAAGGGTATTTCAGTCTTTGCATCCTTTTAAGGGAGTAGAGGGTATTTTAGTCAACTAACACCGTCGTCCCCCTTCCTCCTTCAAATTATTTAATTCGATTTGTAGAGAACGAAATTCGTTGGTCTTCCATCGGGTAAATAATTACCAGCTCACAATGGTCTGCGAAAAATGTAAGTTCTTCTTCCTAGTATACTTTGAATTTCGTCTTATATAGTTACGTATTTGTATTTGGCCGGTGTGATTTTGAATTGATTAGTTAGGGTTTTGTCCGATTGATTGGGTATTCTATATGGGTATATAGGCGAGAAGAAGCTGTCGAAGGTTATAGTTCCGGACAAATGGAAAGAAGGTGCCCACAACGCCACCGAAGGCGGCGGTAGGAAGATCAACGAGAACAAGCTCCTCTCTAAAAAACACAGGTCTCTTCTTTTCTTCAAGAAATATTTTTTTTAAATGAATAGGTGGTAAAGGTTACATATGCATTTTGGAATTGTATTTATTGGAAATTCTGGCGCTATTATTAAAAGGCTTGGATGTCTTCAATTAAATTTACCAAAATTTTGGATTTTTGTTGTCATTGGTATTGTTTGCTGAATATGGGGTGATTTGTTTTAAATTTAAGTTTGAAGATTTTGCTGAACTATAGGGTTATTCTGTATTATTGATATTGAATGTACTAAGCTGGGTTGTACCATGTTGAGCTCTCGATGTGCTTACCATGATCTCCCTAGAGTTGTAAATAATACACACGAAGGAGGGAATACAGCATGAAAAAATCCAATTGGTGGTTGATATGTTTCTGAATTTTACATGATGGACTAGAATTGGCTGATTGATCCTATATAAGAGCCTTGTTTTGGGTACTAGAAACAATGTGATAGTTTGATGAATCTTTGTGGAGGTGTCGATGGGATAGGAATATACTTTTTGAATCCATCTTCAGAAAGCGATTGAATGCACTATATCAGGTCATATCATTTTGAGATTGTTTTTGTGCATCCGTCCTGCATTCAGTTATATGGAATTTTATGCTTAGATCCTTTGCCTTTTTCTCAAATGCAATTATGAGCAAAGTGATTGTCTTGCAGATGGACACCTTATGGACAAACCAAGTGCATTATCTGTAAGCAGCAAGTCCATCAGGACGGCAAGTATTGTCATACCTGTGCTTACAGTAAAGGTAGTTAGTTCTTCTCTGCAATTTTTATGTTGTCTTATTTTGATGGACACATGCTTCATGGAGCGTTCTGAGATACTTTCATAATGCAGGAGTATGTGCAATGTGTGGGAAGCAAGTACTTGATACCAAATTTTACAAACAAAGCAATGTATGAAGACTAGTTTGATATGATGATTCTGTTTCTCATGCTAATATTACAACAGCATAATATTTGCATCTCTTGAACTGAATGTAATCGTACTTAATGGATGGCATTGGTATTTGCTTTATATTTTTGGTACCTGTATGAGCAGTGAAATGCACTTTCTAAGATCTTCTCAGTATTTATCGAGCTATATTCTGTACAGTTGTGCCAATTGTTCAACATGTATTTCATTTTTTTCTTTTTTCCATCATTCCATCTGGGCTTAATTTTCACTCTCTATAAGAAGGTGTTTCTCTTTTCTCATGACCTTTATAATGTTTGTTTTGTTGGTTTATTACATCGATAATTTGATATAGATGTTGAACAATGTTAATGTCTTGACGGTGTTAGGATTAGGTTTTTGCATGTTTACGAGCTTAGATTATTAAGGCCCTGTTTGAGCCCCATTAATTTGAAGAAATGTATTATGGAATAGTGATTGATGGAAAATGTGTGCTTAAAAAAGAAAAAAAAATTATTTGCGTGTAATATTATTTTAATGAAGAACGTGTGTTTAGAATTGAGTACTTAGAAAAAATAATGGGAAAGAATGTAAAATAAAGGATGACAAACAAGGGCTAAAGGAGACTGTTACGTAGAAATGGATAGGTCTTTAGCTGTTTGTTCTGGAGGCAGATTTTGTTGTCATTGGAATAATAACAACTTTTCAATCAGCTCTTTAGCCTGGCAAGTATCATTACCAGAAGATGTCTTGGTTGATTTTGTAGGTTCACCTAATGGGTTGATTTTTGGCAGATTTTGATAAAAGTTGAAGAAATGTGGTTAAAAAGTTGCGCATTCTATGAAACGTGATTAAAATTAATTATTGATTTTGACTTTGATAAAAAATTTAATTTTAATTTCTACCAAACATGAGCTTAATCCTCATTGATAGTGGTTGGAGTTATGCTGGTTTGAGGCAATTGGTAATGTGCCAAGTGAATCAAATCTACTTAGCCTTGTCTTTGTGGTGTTCTATACACAGAATATCTGTAGACATGTTGAATATGTGGGATTAAATGGAATAAATGATAAATATATTATGTCTTTCTTCTTTAAATTTGTTTACCTCTACCCAGTGGTCCCATTTTAAAGTACCCAAAATGCTGTGAGGTGTGAATCCGGTCAAGGTTGGATGACCCACAATTTCGTTCAAGAAAGCGGGCTACTTTGGGTAAGCAAACCACCAGACCTTTCTTTTTGTTTTTTCTGCTTTTGGTCCTTCGTGCATGGCCATCTCTTCAAACTTCAAATGGCCAAACAAAGAATGGCTGGATGACCCGACTTGCTTTTACACAAAGGACTTGACTAAGAGAATAATATGGACGCAATTGAATATGCTGGAACAGTGTATCCTTATTTGGCTCATTTATCAAATTTCTTCATGGGAAACTAGCAGCTTTTCTGTCTTCCTCCGCCATAAGAAATAAGAATGCACAATTAATGCATATGATACTGTTTTAGTAGACAATTTGCACTTTCCAATATCTCTAATGTATCACCGTTTTGTGGAGTAACTAGAATTCCAGGACTCACAGGGCATATTATAATGCATCAATTTCTCAAGTCAGTATATCATAACATAGCAGATAAGATGAAAACGGCAGATGACTAAAAAACTTGGCGAGTTTGTGCAATAACGAAGGTATGTCTTGGGTGAGAGACGGGAGTAGATTTTTTGGTCACACTCAATATACATACGAGATTTTCAATTTGAATACTTCAACATCTAGAATTGATGAAAATGGATCGCGTGTAACTTGTAAGGCTGGTAGTAGTATACAACCATCAGAAACTTCACATTCAGCTAACGCAAAGTTCTAGGATTGAGCATGCAAATGTACAAAAACGAGAAGAGAGAGTGGTGGGGCTACGTCCAGTTGATGTTAACATGCAACAAGCCCCTAGATTTCAGTCACAACTACACAGTGTGATCTATATGTTGCTGCCGATATCTAAAACCCATGGATTTTGATGTTCTCCTTCTTTACAATGCCAGCCTGTTAAGGCAGGCAAAAGAGAGAAAATTCAGGGAAATCGTAAAGAGGGATGAAGTTATTTGTAAGCAACTTATAGCAAAGAAATACCTGAATAAGGAAGGTTGAGACATTCTTCCGCTGATCACCTTGAAGTTGTATAACCTGTCCCTCGTACACAATGAGAAGTTTCAAGACGTGCCACACATAAAAAAACTAACGGCACAGAACAGACTTTGTAGCGTCAAATACTTACCATGCCTAGTTCGGGATGCTGGACAACAGTGCCATTGCAGCAAAATTCCTTCTTAAGATCCTTGAGTATTTTATTGTAGCTGAACTCTTTCTTCAAACCCTGGACAGTTGTAAGGCTTTTTCTACCATTGCGCTGCTGCACGCGGATATGCACATATTCTTTCGAGTCTTCAGCATACGCCTCAGGAAAAGGATCTGTTTACAACCCAGAAAACAAATAAGACAGAGCTCCATTCATATTGTTGAAAGTGATATAAAGAAGCCGAACAGTTCTGCTGTTCTATGCCCATACTAGTGTACAAATAGACTTACCAAATGGGTCAGGGGCCTGGGTGTCAAGCTCAGACATGAACCTTGACTACAAGAGTTAAATGGAAAAAATGATAAATTGATGGTTCTTTTGCTTCTTATAAGTTAACGCTGAAACATAATTACAGATATATGTTGCTATTCAACAACAAAAGCAGAAATAACCATAAAGAAACAAGAGAGTAATTCCTGTTTTCTACGAGGATAAAGCAATGAAACATAGATGTCCAGATCTTTTTATATACCTTTCAACTGCCTCTACCACTTAGAAAATAAAGGACATGTACCTACACGAGTATGAAAATTCCAAGATATCATCATATTCAACCTACACATCTTCCCTCTACTGCCCTACCATTGGAAAATAGACCAAAACACTCGAGCTATACAACTCTTGTAACACATATCTCAAGGCATAGGATTCATATATTAGTCAGATTATACGATTTGGCTACTCTTTAAGAATTATTCATTTCCTGTAACCAAAGAATGAGAGAGGCATAATTTATAATTACACTGTGAAAGCACACAAAAGCCTACTTTATAAGCTTCTTCACTTCTGAGTGTATGATAAAAATAAAGTTCTTCCTTCAAAGAAGGATTTAAATTGGTTTAATTGTGAGAAACACCCGATCGCCGAAACATAATCTTTTATGCAGATAGCATCTTTGTGTTTTTCTAGCAATATTCGTGATGATTGAGATACTATTTCATAACTAACGACTTCAGTTTCTGGTAAAAGCTTCAGGTTTTTAAGTCTCTTAACTTTTTACCATGGGAACATTCATTACACAGAGTAGGGTAACTGGATAATGTAGACATGCTAATATCAGACTACAGTTAAAACTTCATACCTCTAATATTGATCTTTAAGATTGTATCATAAACACACTTAAGATTTGAAGTAGGTTTTGAGGTCTTCAAAACCCGAATATCTTGATCTCGTCATATATCTTATAAGGAAGTAGTAAACTATTTTAACTCTACATTCCTTATACTTTTGAGTAGAAACCATAAGCATCTTCTGACTATTTTATATTCTTTTTAGCTTCACAGAAGCCATTTCCCCAACCACCCAAAGATAAAAAAAAATAAAAAAAATAATAAAATAAAAAATAAAATCTCAACTTCATATGATTTACTAATGGAAATTACAGTTCCCCTTATTATATCCACTCTATTTGCCTTGTAGATGCCATTCTAATCAGGATTCACCATGAACTTAGAGTGTGGTGGAACCCCGACTTCCATTGAATTCCCATGTAATTGCATATGCAATGGTACAGAGAATTGCCGGATATCAATTTTTTTGAACGGTTATATTTATTAACAACCAAGATTCTAACTTGGTTACGTTATCACTTTGCATACCAATGCCTCTGCACCAGATTGAAGCAGAAATGAAAAGAATCAAGAGAGAGACTGACTTCCAACAATTTCATACTTAAAATGGTTCTCAAAGCAAAGTTCAAGTGCATTCATTTTCCTCCCTTGATGCTTAGGCACATAAAACGTGATGCTTAAGTTATTTGCAACCATGGAGGTTGCCATGGCTAGAACCTAACTTCAATCAACAAATTTTGAGCCTCAAAATCCAACCCTTGCTTACACCTTTCTCCCATTATACAGTCAATACAACTTTCATCCTTAAAACTTCACACTGAAAACTATTCATGACTTCTGGAAATTCTTCTTTCCTCATATATTAAAAATTATAAATCATTGTTCTCGATCAAAATCTATATTTTTTCAGTTTTCCGTAACAGCCCGAACCAAAAGGATTCAACCATCACCTTTCTTGATTATGGTTTCCGAAACAATGACAGATATTATTGTCAATTCTTCGATAAAAAAAAAAAATCAAGAAATACAGAATTTTCATAATAAGTAAATTGGTAAGTTCTCGTATTTACACACCATTTTTTTAACAAAAGATAACAACACTAATTACTAAACAAATATTCAGACAGTATGGTCATGTAGAATTACCTGATCGAAAAGGAGAATTGGGCTCTCAAGAAAATTTTATAATGAAAGAAATTTCCAGAGAGTGAGGGGGAGGGATAAGATAACAAAAGTATGAAAAGTCGTGGAGGTATTTTTCTTTATGTAAAGAAGAGAGGACCACAGACAGACACAGTTGGAGGGATTCCCTTCCCATTTTCTCTGGTAATTGGAATTGAAATCTCGGGTAATTATCTATTCCCGCATATTATGCTTTGGATCATATTATCAGTTTTTCATTTACCATTAATGGAAAATGGTGATTCAGTTCAGGTTTGACAGGTAAAACGAATAAATTATTTTACCATTTATCGTTGGTATATATTTCTGTTGACACATAAAAATTCAGTCCAAATCGAACGGTCCAAGGAATAAAGCCCAATTGGAGGATCCCCAAATCAGATAGCTCAAAGAACGAAACCCAATCAAACAATTCAAGATGAAGGCCCAAATAGGGAGGCCTAAGAACGCGGTAACGCCATCGCCCAAGTTTGCAAGTCGCCCAGAATCTGAGTGAATGGAGTGCCATGCAGTCGTCCAGAACTGTTACTCTATTCTCGCCCAAACCTTCAAGTCGCCCAAAGTCTTAACAAATATAAAGCGTTGTGGTTATCAAGAAGTGCAGTTATCAAAGCAGTTATTAAAACAGCCCTATCACGTTCCACGATTCAAGGAATTCAATCGAAAACGGTTGAACGACGAAGAGTAATGGCAGCAGTTAAAAAAGGCAGTTTTCATGACAAGCTGGCCATTATGAGGAAAGTGGGCAGTTGCAGAACGATCAAACAATTTTTAGGCGGTTGATCACAAAAAAGATCATCCATGGAGTATAAAAGGGAGAAAAGACATAGAGCAAAGGACCGAATCAAAAACTCTCGAACAAAGAACATGTAATTTTAATTTCCTTAGTTTTAAACTTGAACACTTTTTTCAGTAACTCGTGTGCTTGGGCCCCTTGGAGGCATTTTGTTTTTGATTTCCAATTGTAAAATTATCGCCAATAAAAGAACACCCCTTTTTGGGACTTTGTCTCAAGAGGTTT